ATTAACTAGAGTCTACTGACAGACTGTAGTGAAAAGAGCGTCGAAAGCTGTAGAAAGCTCTGGAATGCTCTCTGGTGCTAACTGATATCTCACGGATCTTCAGATACTAAGCGATGCTCTCCGATGCTGAACGATGCTGAACGATGCTCCGCGATGCTAAGAAAGAAAAAAGTCGCCTTTTCCCCCTTGCTCTTGATTATTACGAATATAAACTGATTTCGGTATATCATCTCGTAATGTATCTGAATAATTTTCATTTTGTCTTTGTGTATGGTCATAAATTGATGAAGAGCCAGCACATTGACTATTTTGTTCAGAATTATCATCAATAATATTATTACCAACTGACAATGCATCTGACCCAAATAATACGCGAAAACACAAATACATTTCATTTAGTACACACTTGATCGCAGTAGATGACTATAGCTACGACTGTGACATCCGTCACTCTAAACAGCGTTTGGACGCATGCGGGCGCTGAAAGCATTTGATTCTGAATGCATTCAACCGCGTTTGTTTCCAAGATGCAGCAGGAGATGATTAGGAGACGCAGCTATACGCATTCACTTGAATGTTGAAACTCGGTAAGACACGTTTATAACATGAAATTGATAAAAACTGCGTTTAATCGCGCCTATCGATCCGAAAAACGCACTCAGACGCAGTAAATCTACGTTTGGTGCTTACACGGGCTGCCACAAACACACAGACAAACTCATTTTATTTCATATGACCCTCACTACAGTGGAGAGTATAAAATAAGTGTATCTAATATAGAAGAACTTCTACCACGAAGAAAGTTCATCAACTATTGCTCAAGAGAAAAATTGTGATACTTCAAACGGCTAAAACTCTACCCGTTTGAAGAATAAAAAAATGCTGTGTTTGTTATAAACTACTATGCCAATTACCATTCTGTTCTGTTCTGTGCTTATTTCTGTTTTTCTATGAATACTGCAATACACCGCAAACAATTCATGTAGATTAACACGTACAAACGACCGACACTAATTAATCAACAACATCTGCCAAAGGGAGAAAAAACGTGTTGAATACAACGATGATTAATAAAGCAAAGGAAATAAGTAAATGTCGACGATGAAGGTCAGAAATATTGCAGTAGAAATGGGTAAGAATAAATGAGAAAGGCATTTATTCCTAGAGAAAAACAAGAATCGAACGAGGCATGATATAGACAAATTGGCATATTTTTTGTTTCTTTTTCTTTGTCTTTTTCTTTCTATAACGCATACTACCGCACAAGAGAAGAAAAACATTTTTTCCTCATAGACTTAACGATAAAACACAAAAAATGACTCGAAGATTGATTACTAGTAGTTTATTTTCGATTAATAAAGTAAGTTTTCTTGTCACCAAAAATCAATTAAAATAGGTTTTTGTTCTACATTATACTAGAATTTTTCCATTCCAACATTGATAATCAATAGAGCAGTTTCATCAACAATTGGTTTAAATGACTTGAAAATCTTAGGTTTTGGTGCAGGCAATAAACCGGTACCGGAAGCGCGAAAATCTTTGGCGGAAAAGGGATATAATAATATCAAAATTTTTGGCATTTACAACACGAAAGAAAGTGATCAGGAATTGATAGCAGCACTGAAAGAAAAGCAATGGGATGTAGTTGCCATTGGTTCGTGAGACACTCTTAAGTATTCTTTGATTTGAATACTTAACTAATTTGTCTTGTTTTATATTGTAGGTAGTTATGTCAACGGTTTTGATCAAGCTGCACACTATCAAGAAAAGGGTGTGTCTACGGATCGTACAGAAATACTCCTTTGGTTTAATCGCGTTTTAAATCTTGTACATGAATTAGCACCAAAATCAAAAATTGTTCTTCTTAAATCACCGCATGATCTCTTTGATGGAATTCAACGAATTCTGGGTGTTGAACAAAAACAAACATAAACTAAGATTTAAACCATAATCAAATTACTAGAAGTTTAATTTGAATATTTTCTCACTCGATTATGTATTTATTCATTTATTAATAAAAGGTAGATTTTTCTGTATTAATTAAACACACAATGGCGGTGAATTAATTTTTCAATTAGAGACTAGTGACCTCAAGAAGTCTGTCGGAAAGAATATTTACACTTATTTCACGTTAGGGAGAATGCCGACAAGGATAGATTTATATGTAGGTGAGCATGTGAGTGCTGATGTAAACATTACTTATTCACACCGTTTTAATCATTTACGTGTGTACTTCTACAATTCCAGGGAAGCGAAAAGTATAAATATACTATAGTAAGATAGTAAGCTTCTCTCCTCGTCTAACATCCTTCGATCATCGTTGCTGTGTAGTGAAAGAATTCTTGAAATGAATGTCAGAAGATGGTAGCATTTCAAGCAGAAACATCACTGATTTTCATAATAAATCATGGGGCATAGGCTACATTTTGTAGGGTAATCAATACATATTTGATAGCTAGTTCTTAAAATGGCGAAGAACGTTTCGATAACTGCTATAAAAGGCGCTCTGCAACCAAGTACACAAGAGTGAATTTTTACAGACTCCAACCTCGGGAGTGGATGAGGGTAAGGTTTTAAGAAGATGTTTCCAAAGCACCATACGACGTGTTTCGGCTTTAGGAAAGCTAATCATCAATGTATATGAAATTATTGATTGAATATTCTACTCTGTGAATCTGTCCTGAATTTGTCAATATTTTTCGAATTCAATCTGAAATATTTTTTTAATATCAATTGGTCGGATATAATATTTAATATACAAAACAATGAAATATTCTAACCATAAAATTATCAGTAAATTCGTATCGATTTTTCGAAAAAAAACCCAAAAATATTTTAAATAATTTTTGTTTTTTCCGAAGTCATTATTCTAAATCTTGTTTATATCTTCACAATCAGCACATATCATTCTTATAGAATTGTATATTAATAATATCTGTGATTGAACTACGAAACCATGTTGAAATAAAACATTAAATTAATATTACATCAGGGCTCAGTAATAAATTTAGCTCTATGTCATGCTTTTTATTGCAGTTTAAATAAAACTCATTTCTCAACAAGAGAATTTTTTCAATATTAAAACTATTTTTATAAATATAACATTAAAACAATTAATAATCTTAGATAAATTGAAAAAAAACGTTTCTTTATTTAGTTTCGAATAAAACTTTTCATTTCTTAATATTATTTGTTTTCATACAGTACTGGAAAAAATTATAGAGCCGGGTTCGAGCCTACTCTTTAACTTTTATTTATTTTGTTAACTAACAAACTGAGATAGATTAAAACACATGAGTATATGCATTTAAGTCTGCTCTTTTCAAATATGTTATTGAAAAAAATATAGAAATCTTTGTTTCTCTTACAAAAGATTTTTTACACAAAGACGAAACGATGAAGCCTTTAGAAAATCTGAGAAAAAAAGGTAATGTTACAATTCAACTACTTACATGCTAACATAGTGCAAGCTGTCAATAACCATGAGATGATCAATAAACTAATACTAACATCTTTCATCAAGAGACGCGGCATTGTATGATGAGCAACGTGATTGTGAACAATAGCTTTTTTCTTCTTTTACTACCGTTCTTACAACAGAATAATATTTATTTATCGTATAATAGGTGTCAAAATACGTGCACATGAAGTGAACGATGAATATGAACTCGTTTTTCTCTTGCTTTCTTAAGAGAGAATCCTTTGTTTAGACTAATTCAATTAGCACACTATGAATCGTAGAGCCAAACTCTAGATTAAATTATATTAGAGTGTTAAAGATGTTGCTCTGCATAATACAATCCTTTTCCAGTGTCGAAAAGAATTGAGTGACAATAAAATGCTGAAAATGCCGATAGATAGAATCGATGAGTGTGAGAATCTCAAGAACTGGTCATATATATGGATGTTTTCCACTGAAGTTTCGTGAGGATGGGTGAGTGGGTGAATTGGCGTTCAACAATAAGTACCGAGGTAATTAGCCCAGTACTTGCAGTTACGATAGACAATTGAGTAGAACAGTATGCTCTAATTCAGTCAGGAGATATTTGATGTTTAGTATTTTTCATTTTTAGAAGTCAACCTCACTCAGAGTACTTAAAAGCAGTTCTAAGATTTTGATCTTGAGTCGATAGAAAATTCAATGGTCTACAAATCTCTTGATTTAATTTTTTAAAAAGAATCTTTTTCGCGTCGTAAAGTGCTGAATTTGAAGACGTGCTCAATGTTTCAACTGTGACCTTCGGTTTTCTGCAGATTTAGTTTTCAACTTTTGAAAATTAATTTCATAATTCCGTCTTATGAGCAAAGTATCTAATACCAAAAGATACAGAATTCTGGACTCTATCGTTCTATGCTATTTTAAAGATTCCGAATGACTATGAGACTTTTTCGGTGTCGTTTAACCGACACCAGTGCATACCTATATCAGCTGGGAACTTGTACAGAAATAGAGAAAATTTAATTTTTTACAAAATGAGCACACAAAAAAATGAGTTGTTATTTTCCAATATTTTTGAGCTTGATTATGAATTATAGACGAATAGTTAGGTTTTCTATCCATCTAAATTCTTACATTGCCCTATTTCGAAATTCTCTAGCCAAATTCCACTGAGAAGCAACCTCGGCCGGTGCGAAACGAGCTGACTATAATTTTGGTCGTATCTAGTTACTGGTGTGAATCGGAAAAACGGATGACTTGCAGGTAATCGACCACTGAATATTGAATCTCAAGAAAGACTCAATTTTATAGCCTGAACATGAAAAAAGAAAAAAAATCGTTTGAGTCTCTCCTGAACTTTGTATTCTAAAAACTTCATAAATAAATATTTACTTATTTCATGTTGTGAACAGTAGAATCATGTTATGGGTATAAAACTGAGTCTTTCCTGAGATTTTTATATGATTTGGAACTGTTTTGAACGAGATTTTAATTTTTTGGCTTTTTGGTGAAAAGTATCAAATTTTGTTGATTGAAACATGTCTTATTATCAATAATCTCAAAATATCGATAATTAACCATAATTTTGGCCGTAATTTGAAGTTTTCATCTTATTCCGCAACTTTTTTTAAAACTTAAATGTCATATTTGGAATTAGTCTAAAATGCTGCGTCGAGTGATGTATATGCTATCTCGGCTCAAGCATTTGTTTGTTTACAAAAGACTCACTAACTGGACGGTATACATGAATTTTCGCTTATATCTGAGTTTATGCGCCAATAGAACGAAAAGGAAATTTTTTAAAGAGAGTACTTTGAATGGTACTTTGAATGGTTCAGACAGAGGACACACTTTTCTACAAGAAAATACTCTTTTCCGAATTTTAGAATTGTGTTTAAGGTCAGAAGAAAATATTTGAGGACGAAAAGTCGACTTACTACCGTACATCATTTCTTTAACTCATTTGTGTTTTAGTTGTATGTTGTTCAGTATTTTCTTCTTCATTGTAAATAGATGCTCAAAGAAAGCGAAAATTAATTACCATTTTATTTCTTGGAAAGATGGTAAAATCATTAGCATGTCTGACATATTATTGAATTCGTATATACACTTGCATTCCCAATAAAAGTGGAAACGCTTATGAACAGCAGGTGCCCTGGCGCATTTAGAAGGATATAGGGTGGGTTTATTAAAGATATCGGCCCAGCTTCAAGATTAATCCTAACAGTAGATATTCTTGCTGTTGGCAGAATCACAAACAATGTGAAAATATTGAAACCGATGCACTGCTGTCTGGAGACCTCAGGGGTGTCTTACGTTTTGTTGATCAATCAGTTACAAAATCAGTGAGATCCGTTTTACAGACGTTTTCAAACTTCGTTTACTAATTGTCATGCGTGCTTATTGAATTCCAATGGTCCTTCTAATTTTCTTAACGCATTTTTTGCAAAACCTTGTCAAGTATTGTGAGGTTTGTTAACATCACTGGATTGAATCTTAACAAAAAGAAGGCGCCTCTATTGATGTTTGTCTACTCTCACTGGTAATGCCGAAGGGAAAAACCGAACAGAAGATGATGAAATTTCTCAAAACTGAAATCATTTATTTTGAATTATGCGCAGTGGCCATGGTTGACATGTCTTAGATGTTTTCTCCCTGTTGTTGATGCCCAATGCTGTTCTCTCAGTCAATAGTCTATGAATCAAAGGTGAGTGTTACTGTTAGGATGGTGACATATAAATATGCAATTGATAAGGATGCAATTTTCGTTTTCTTATGTTTCATGCACCTTATCGTGCGAGTGATTCACTACCATTATTATACGTTTGTTTTCAAAGTGTGTTATTACTCACACTTGTCGTTAATTCTTGCTTAGTTTACTAAAATATTATACAACAAGATGACATGAATTCATTCAGTTAGAATGCGGGAATGAAAGTTATTTTCGGTTTAATAAATCATAATGAACGAATGTTTTCATGCAGTATAGGTAATTTTCAAATAGGGTAATGCTTGTCCGTATCGATAGACAATGTATTCATCATGGGAACCCCCTAATTTACCGTGCACAGAATGGCAATTATGTGGAGCAGAACTTAATGTACTGGCGGCCGTCAATACTGATTGAACACCCAATAAGACCTTGGTATAGAATATGATACGTTGTTGTGTTTCTTGATCAGGTGCTGTAAATATATGGGATAGCCGTGGATCATGGGCAAAATAAGCACCAGGTCCTATAAAAACAAAAACAAAATATAGTAGATCTAAATCTCGAGTGACATTTCATACCCCATGAACCGCCTATATTGTAGTATCAATCATCAAATCCTCGATTAAATATTCCATCAATGGCAACTCCTTTCGTTCCATGAAACAGTTCCCGTTCATTAGGATCGTTTCCTGGACATTCTTTTGATATTGTCCTTTTCATGTATTCATACAGAGCTTCAATATCTGGATTTTTAATTTGTTCGATGGATATCACGTTTGAACCGGGTATCTTTCTCATTTCTGTAACAAGATTTTGATAGAGAGTTGTCGACGAAGGAAATGGTACAAGTACGGCATTGTAGGTTGTAGGTGGATCAGGTACAAAAGACAATACTTCGTCAAGTTGCGTCCATCCTCTTGCTTTCATTTTGTCTATACGTTCGCTTATTGCTCCCGGACTCGCTACACCCTGTTCACCTTCGATCGGTCGCAATACCTGAAAACGTTTATTACGAATATTATCGACAATTTGTTCCAATTGAATTGGATGTGATCCACTGGTTATATTCACACGCATACCCAGTTCTCTGGTATAATCTTTCTCCAAAGATAAATTACTGACATCAAAATCAATACGATCATGTGTGAGTGCGATATGTGGTTCGATCAGATCCATAGTAAATGGTCCTGTTTTGTAGTCTTCATCCAACAATAGGACATATCGCCAATCTTGTCGAAATACTTTGATACTAATTTTAAATTTATGCATTCTATCCGAAAATCTTTCAATATCAAAGTACTCTGAAGCTGGTAAATGACAATCAAGATCTGATGGAACTAATTGTTTGTTCAACATTGGCATGCTAGTCCCCGGCTGGTACACGATCCATTGTTTTGGCGACAAGTTAGCTGGTGTCGTCGAATAGTTCCCCACAATCCAATCGCGCACAAATCCACCTTCCAAACGACACTTAAACTCACAAACAGCCACCCATGCAACAACTTCCATACGTGTTTCACGTGTCGCTGTTGGACCTTGAAGACTCTTCCATATGTCGACAGGTGACCGATCTTTGTTTGTTACATGACTGATCTTCTCTTCCATATCTGCATATTCTTTACGTACTTGTGGTTTCAGCATACGTGGCGGAACAGCTAAATATAAATATAACGTACACATGTACAATTGGTTAAAAGGATTATTAAGATCGCGAAAAGAAGTATTTTTCTTTCTCATTTATCTCAAGAATGTTGTGGAGAGATTGGATTTTGAACATTAAATAGAGCTACTTTTGAGGTCTACTCATCCATAAGGACATTTTCGATACATTTATCGCGATAAGTGCTTGTTTTATAGAGGCTGTCGCGGAGTTTTTGCAGTTATCCAGATAAATGATTTATCGGACAAAGCAACCTTTTTATTGCCATAATTTTATTATCGCGAGTTATCGATAAACAATCCGTATCGGGGTAATGTCACAATCGCGGTAATTGCAAAAAGTGTGTGACGGCCTCGATAAAACAAGCACTTATCGCGATAAATGTATCGAAAATATCCTCGTAGAGCGATTATCGATAATAGAACGCTATATCGTCCGCAGGGTATTCATCTGTTCTCTTTTCTAATTGATCTGATTACTTCTTCAAAGATAATTAACCGTTATGTTTCAAAACATTATTCTTTTATCACCCTATGAAAAACACATAGAATTATGTGGGATAAAAAGAGTCAGTGCACGAAATTTTCTTCGTAATTTCACTATTTCTGATCCATTTTTAACTGAACAAATTCGACATTAACCACGTTGGCAGAGACGATAATTATGCACGTGGAAGACGATAATCAGTGCAAAAATTTCCTGAAACTTCATGTTGATTTTCCAGATATATTCAACTGGGAGTCGAGTGATTTTGATTGACTCTTTTTACCCCATCGACGTAAGTGAGCTGACTCATTTTACCGCATGTGGAGTAAAAAGAGTCAATCAAATAACACAAGCTTTTAAAAAAAAATGTTTACTAAAATGACAGCGCCGTGGTTAGCCATGTGCGTGACCAATTCGCTCTTATGTCGATCTCGTAAAAAAACCTTTAAGTCCCAGTACTGTGTCAACTGCATCCGTTAATGTTTTTCATAAATGACACCTTTTTAAACCGTAGTGACATTTGTGAACGAGAAACTCTATGGTCAAATCTGAAATGAATTAGCGAAACAGTGATCCGACTCATGTCTGTGTTAGATAATTTTTTGCCTGTTGGAACCGTCCTATATGACTTTTGTATGGCGTCCCACAAAGCGTTTTATTCGTGCACACGACTGCAGCTAGGAGGGAAAGACCTGCAAGCTAACAAGTAAAAGAAAGAAAAAAGTCTTTTTTCGTTCTAAGAACAAACGAGCCACTTCTTTCCGAGAAAACGATCTGATCCTGTGTTGACCATTGGTTGCTATACCATCGTTTATGGAGAGGATAGGGATAAGAAGTTTGGTTTCATAATCTTCCTCATTTTTTAAGAGACACATACCTGAATCTGGATTTCTTATGACAACACAATTACGTAACCATTTTAAAAATGATTGAAATTCTTTATGTACTAGTTGATTTTGTGAATCAAGACCTTCCACTGTGATATCAACTGTTCCATTGGTGTGATTATTTTTCGTCCGTATTTTTACTTGATGTTGTGCTTCCCATCGCCATCGTAAGGGTCCGAATAGATCAGTCCGCATTTTTGTAACCAATGTTAAATTTCTAGCTAGAGCGTCGTTTACTTGCCCTGTGATAACCGAAGACAAAGTACATTTAAATTCTGTTACCAACTGCTGACGAATATATAATTCAGCATTTAGTACTTCACCGGATGGACCACGGAGTATCAGTGTTTTGTTACTAATATGTATATGTATGTGTGAAAACTGTTTATTTGCATTCGATAAAATATTATCGTCATTGAGTTTTCTTTCTTCATTTTCATTCAATGGTAATTCACGAACAATTGTATATTCAATCCACAATGATTCAATTTGTCCGACAAATGATAGGATGGCTGTTGAACGTACTGTAGTCAAATAGAGAACATCACGTGCTAGTACGAGAGAAGCGGGTGACGGTCCTTTATTTTTCGTTCGTAGCTTAGATGATATGTCTATAACGGCCACTGTTTCATTCGATGGAGATTGTGATGTTGCAAAATTATACTTCAGAAATTGTTGTGTTTTACCTTGAAGGATTTTTAGTGATACATATACCTTGTCCGAATAACCAGCTAATAGGGCTTTGGCTATTAATTCCCATTTGCCCGATTGAAGTTGTGCAAGCTCTCGAAAATCATCAGATAGACTAAGTGCTTTTTCTAAATTTGTATAACGTCGCAATGCTCGTTTAATCACGTGTGCGTATTCATCAGGAATTGATTTCAATATGACCGATGAGTTCAGTACAGAAAGAATGGATGATAGAACAATCAAATCACGACCACATCGATTATGGGTCAAAGCAGACAAAACAGCTTTTGACATCGGTAATGATCCAAAATCTGGTAATTTCCCTATCTGAGCACCTTGGTTAGTAAAATGTTCACCTGGAGAAGTGCTCAATATACCTGCAACAAGAAACAAAAATGTTTTATTTCAAATGTATCTTTTCTTTATTAAAAATCTTATAGACATATCATCTAAGCTACGAACGAAAAATAAAGGACCGTCACCCGCTTCTCTCGTACTAGCACGTGATGTTCTCTATTTGACTACAGTACGTTCAACAGCCATCCTATCATTTGTCGGACAAATTGAATCATTGTGGATTGAATATACAATTGTTCGTGAATTACCATTGAATGAAAATGAAGAAAGAAAACTCAATGACGATAATATTTTATCGAATGCAAATAAACAGTTTTCACACATACATATACATATTAGTAACAAAACACTGATACTCCGTGGTCCATCCGGTGAAGTACTACACTTTCCGTCCTGAGCGTCGCAGTTTGTTTCATGTAGAGATTCGCGATGAGCCTCCGATCTCTCCAGTCCACTCCAATCTTCTTCAAGATCTCCACCAGCTTGGTCCACTTCACTCTGTCAAAAGCCTTCTCGAAGTCTACAAAGCAAACAAACAGTTCCTCATCAAACTCCAGTCTCCTTTCGCATAATAGCCTCATTACTGCGATCGCCTCTCTCGTTCCACAGCCTTTTCTAAATCCAAATTGTGTTTTTCCGATGAAATATTTGGCCTTGTGCCCCAATCTCCTGACCATCACCTTGAGCATTATCTTCGACGCATGCGGAATCAAACTAATTATCCTGTGGTCCACACATTCTATCGCATTTACTTTCTTTTCAAGCGCCACAATCGTTGATCTTGTGAAGTCCACGGGCCAATCTCCAGTTACATAAATGCTCCTGCACAGGCCAACCAGCTCCTTCCTTCCTCTCTCTCCAAGCACCTTCAATAACTCTGCCGGAATTCCATCCACTCCCTCTGCTTTTCCACTTTTCAATTCTCCGATCGCGGCCTCAATTTCTGCTTTCAGCACCTCCGGCCCCTTCTCGTCACTTCCGACCATCGCTTCATTTTCCAACTGTAATTCCTCCATCTTTGGTTTTCCTCGCTTGTCGTAGAGCTCTTCTACGTACTCTTTCCACCTTCCCTTTATT